CAACAAAAAATGCCTCCGAAAGGTTTAGCATTCAAAATTGATGGTTAATCAATGTCACCAACGAGAGCCAACGACTCCATCCCCCAGAATAAACTCCAGACTTGTTCTCCAGGCTGATAATCCCGCGATCCTGAGAGATAACTTCTTCACGACTTCCTCACATTTTCCATATATTTCCACATTATATCTCCTCGTAAAATGCACTGGTCGTCCAACCCGTATCCATCAAATATGGATGGCATACCAGATTCTCATCTAGGTGAAAATCTCTCAGGAGAAGCGTTCCGATTTTTTTTATACGATGAAAGAAATAACGTTCAATATGTCGATTTATCCCTCCAGCGCAATTCCTCGCCAATATCACCCGAGGTGGATCCTGGTAGGATTGGGTCCTCTTCCCCAGGAGGGAACTCTTATAATGGAGGAGTGTGTATTGCGAACTTCAGCATAAAGTACCCTCTGGGAATTGCGTGTCACGCTCGTTCAAATATCACTGGAATTCTGGAGCCAGTGGAATGGAGAGTCATCTCGCTTACCGGGAGAATATCGCTTGATTGATCTGGATTCCTTCGGTAATCGCTGATTCATCCTGTGGCAGCTCCTTATAATCCTCTATTCTCTCGTCCTCGTTTATCCATCATTGTTTATTTATCATCTATTTATCATTTCTGTTGCCAACTCGTTACTCGCGATGAGTGAATTTTTCTCGGCAACTTTCCAGTCGTTATCTCGGATTTAAAGGAAAAGTATGAAGAATAATGAAATTTTCATGAGGACCTTTTTTGTAGCTCTCATCTTGTTCTGTAAAAAATATTCATACAAAAAATTATTATGTTCATTCAATTCCGAGATATTCACTAAAAACTGGCAATAAAAAAATGCATTTCGGTATTTATCGAAATTTTTTTTAATTGACACTAATTATTGGCTTCTGTCGCGATTTGTCTCAGTTCAAATGAATTATTGGTTTTTCCTCCGTTACCTTTTCCATCGGGGAATCACAAAAAAAATGAAATGGAGAAAGTAAAATGGTGAATTAATGGAGAACTACTCGCAATTACCGTGATATTACAAAGAAGAATTTTACCAACCGGCAATGATTGTATTCGTAATTTTGACTTAATGAGGAAGTCTTTGTCTCGGTATCAACCGTTTCCTCGGTATTCTCTCGTTGTCCTCGGTCAAGGCGGCCGAGGAGTTCCATCTAGAAATAAAGACAAAGACATATCAAATAAAATCCCGGCCTTGTACAATCTCGTTGAGCTTTTTTCTCCGGGAGCCATTACAATCTACGTCTCAGGTTAACTGCACCCGGGGTTCACTCGTTCCACTGGTTTTTATCGTCGAGAAGAGCAACGACTAATTTTGCGATCAGGGTTATACCACTGGAAAGGATCACATACTTGAAATATCTCCGGTATATACAGCACTATATATCGGTATATATTGTTATAATTTGGAATGTACCGTCTAAGGGAGGGATGAGGGGTGATGGTTAATGGGGTAGTTGTGTGAGAATAATTTAAATCGCGAAAATAGCATCACACCATTGGATGAAAAGTCGTCAGGACGTCGAGACTCGTCGGGTATCGTCGGGGATCGTCGGGGATCGTCAGCAAAGTTGTCATCAATCCTGACATTTGCCCTTCTTCTTCACCCCTTTACTCCCAAGGTCTCGTCGAGTGATAAATTTTTATCCTCCCTCTGTCGATGGCCCACGGCACCGACTCCCCGGATGATACATTGTCTCATAAAATTGATTACATGGATGGCTCCATCAGTCGCTGAGTGTTTCATACGAGCGCACATTCCGCCCTCGCAATTCACCACAAAATTCTAATTGCGCAAAATGCTTTACAGTTTTGTATACCCGCTTAATTGAATACCCACACAAGTGGGTTAGTAATACCATTATGGGGTTTCTTTGGCGTTCGAGGGAATAAATAAATTTATGAGAAACTGTAATTACAGATTTTTTTATTGGATATTTATTTATTCAATCGAGGTATTGGGATTGAAGACAGGAGGGAAGTTGAATCGTGGGTAGTTGAATCGTGGAGTTGTCGGGGTATAGGTGTAGGCGGTAATTTTTGAGACAATGGCAATTATAATCACAATTACAGTGCGAACTGCTTCCTCAATCGCGTGGAGCAGATGAAGCTTGCAGTTTAACCAGAGAGAGTTTCACAGAAATCCTGTTCAACTCCAGTTTCAATGAAACAATGGAGTAAAATCGAAAATGGTCAATCTGGGAATTCTCTATTCAATCCGGTGTGAAATATTCAATGGGTTATGCAGGCAGGGAATAAGATAAGTTTTTATTGCAAAATAGAGAGTTGGAACAATGGGCTGTATAAATCCCTCGACAATTGAAGTCCTGAGGTATTTGACGAATAAAAAAATAATGGGTCTTCATTGAATTCCCCCGAGTGATTGTTATTCTGAAATTATGCAAATATCGAAGCTGTTGAAAGGAAAAGGAATCGTTTGGATTTTTCACGTTTTTCCCACAATTTTTTTCACTATGTGGCAATTTCTAGAATAAATCGAGGTATTCTTTCCAGCGGTGAATAAGTGACCGAAGTACCTCGAAATACCACTCGGATGATTTTCTCCTGGGGGAAAAACTTGTCTCAAGTGACTGCAGATCAACTCGAGTCTTTCGACTTTTATACTGCGTGACTGGGAATAATGGTCTTGACGTTTATTTATCAAAATCTCGAGAGCTCCCTCTCATTTTTCTCCTCTCGTGTCACATATCGCTGACTGGCGTTAAATTTCACGGTAAACATCTCAGTGGGATAAAAATTGGGTGTCGCAGACCGTCTAGGCACTAATTTTTAGGCATGTCACTTGAATTCCGCTGGTGATGAGAACATTTGCGAAATTTTCCAGCTCACCTGTCAATTAAATCTCCCACGGTTTTTCTAATAAAAAATTCACTGAATTCAATTCAAGTCTAATTATTTACGCAATTATAATTTGAGGGATAATCCAAAAATTGATCACAGAAAATAAAATAAGTAATTAGAAATGAATTATTATTGTAATTATTATTAATACTTTGATATTACATCCGGATTTTTTGAAAAGGAATTTAGATGAAATTTTCACATGAATTCTACTGGAAATCTGGATGAGTTGAGGTGATAAAATTGGGTGATCCTGGATAATCGACCTGTAAAGAGTTTTCACGAGTTTCTCTTGAAATTACGATGTTGGAATGACTCTATGAAAATTCCCGACATGCGTGACAAAATAATATGACAAAGTAATGAAGATAAAATTTTTTATCCGAAATTGCAACTTGTTGCCTACTGCGGAAATAACACATCAATTCGTAATTTTATATGAAAATGTTTGGCAAGGGTTGTTTGGTTTTTTTGAGGGGTAAGGGATGACTGGAAGAGTAAAAATATAACGAAGAGACAGCGAGTTCTAAAGGCAGTGGAATAGTCGGTTGGCAAGTTGTCGGTTTATGAAAGCCCTTGCACTCGGTTTATACCACCTGTTCAGGTTGTACTCATAAAAGTGGTTCTCTACTTTATGCATTTAATTTTCCACAATACTTTTGTTTCTCCAGCCATGACTCCGGATTTTTTTTTCTCTGGAATTGTGCGGGGTATCTCTGGTGTTATGATTCTTTTTGGTGTTGTTTCTTTGAGGGGATGGAGTAATGAGATGGAGATCGCTGAAGCCTTCCGCTGGAATTCATTACCCAGCTTTTCATGGGGAAAGAGTTGTGGAGATTGAGGGGTAGAAATTGTTCTTGCTCTTGGAATTTTAAAGTTTATTCATTCCCCAATGAAAAGTTCTTCCAGTTACCTATGGAAATAACAGAACTCAAACTGTTACCGAAAAAATTTCAACAAAGTATATTACAGATAAAAATATTCCAGCAGAGGAGACATTATGTCGAAATATCAGAAGAATTTATATTAGAATATTAGAATATTAGAATTAATATGATTATTGAATAAAATTCAGAGTAAATGTCTAGAGAAATTATCTTGTGAGAGGTGAATCCAAATAAAATGGGGCGAGAACAATAATTTATCGGGAAAGACTTTTATCATCTTCGGGTATCGTTCTCAGGAGAATTGACAGGGGAATTGGCAGGACATAAAGTATAAATATACCAACAGATTCCCCACCGATACATCAGGAATCCCCGATTTCTTAATTATATCCCACGAAATGCCGGAAGAATTTCAATAGTCGAATCCCGAAGATCCCGACGGAAAACTCGTTTTCGAATTGAGTTTATTCATCCAGCAATGGCATTCCGATCTTGAGACTCGAGATGAATGTAATGGAGTCCTCTAAGGATGGAAGTAGATACTGTGAAATGAAAATGATATTCCACAGAAACAATTTTCCGAGGATTTAAACAATATAAATTATTTCGAAGTATCAACCGCAGGATTTTCCAAAATCCTCTCCAATCTCAATCTCCTTTCAAACCACTACAGGACTATTATTCACCACCTTCCACCGTGTTCCCCCCATCCGTGAAAAATACCACCGAAAATTCATTTGAAATGGGCCAGTAGTAGAGGACTCGCACGCGTCAGACGTGCGCGCAGGTCTAAAAGACCGACGAATGATCCGTCACTGTAACGCGCGCGTTTCCCAACATTTAGTTGTGCGAATCCACGCGGTGAGGGTTATCACATCACCTGATACCCCAAGGCAACAAATCCCCCAATTCATCATCAATCCAGAACTAATTACAACTAATCTAAAAATCCCAGGCCCCACCGCCAATTCCATTTGAGATGAATTTAATTATCCCGTTCTCGTTTAATCCCTCAACTTTGACAAGTTGTTTGAAAATGGAACGGATAACGAGTCTCTCTGAAGTAGACACTCGGGAGTTTGATTAAAATCCAAAGTGTCGGAAGCTAGAGGCGGCTGTTGAAAATCCGAGGAATACATGAGGAACAATTGTTCAGTGGGTGAGGGGGGAGGGTAAATAATTGACAAATGTCGGTAGAATATTCAGGTAATCGTTTAACGTTGGTAGACGTAACTCACGTGGATGTCAGTGGGTTTTATCAGTTGATTTGGAGTGATAATAATTGTGATAACGTGAGATCGTCCGGTAGACGTGGACTGATGGTGAAGGGATCGGTGCTACCCTTGGACCCTTTGTACCGTTAATTCAACCGCATTCACCCTCTCAACCCTTATCGTGCAATGAGATTTGAATTACGTGAACTGATACTAATTGCATCTGCAATTGGCTTTATTAATGCCAATGATGTACCAGTGAATGTTCTGTGGATGCACGAGCATCGGACTTGGGGACTGTGGGATGATGTGTTACGACGGCACGCACCGAGATAATATGCTCTTGAATTGTTCCATGTGTTTATCGTTCATATGCCTCGGGGAAGGGTATTGACAACAGTCAAGGATAATGACGCAGTCCCCGACACCCTCCACCAGCAGATTACATGATGACAAATCTATTGGATTGGTAAATTGAGGGCTGGAGACCAACAACTCGTTCTATTCATTATTCATCAAAACCTATCGATCGCAGTGGAAAATATCATAGGACACTTTTTGTAGAGAATTTAATAAACTCGAAAAAAGTCCTCTAGTGTTTTCACCTGGAGTTGATCGTTTCAGGGATAAATCGGTTTAATAATATTTTTCACGCGATTTTTGTCTGTCTGATCTTTCTGTGATGAAAATCGAGTGATACCTGAATATTCAACAGTTTCGGTGAAAGTTTAGTAATAATTTCCAGGGGTGGGACATTAAATTTGATTCACGGTGAAAGATTTATGAAATTTCCATTCTCACTGGAAATTCGAGGAAATTCCAGATTGCTTGAATTTTCAATTGCCACATGAATATTCAGTACCCAAACTCCCTGAATTTTCAATTCATTGGAAATTAGAGACTACATTTACCGTAATTTCCCGAGTTCTATTATCTCCCATGGAATGAAAATTCCCAGGGTTCATTGATTTTATCATTAAACGACGGGTGTCTAATATCGAAATTCGAAATCCCCGGGTTGCGTGGGAAATAATCGACAATGAGCGAGAATAAAATGAAATAACTGAGTTCCCTTGTCAATCAATCAAGCACAAAGTGCTATTGTCCAAGATTTATCCCTCACAACTCCATCAAAATTAAAATTAATATTTACTTTCCCCCAAAAAATCCTGACCTGTAGCAATCCTCCAATTAAATTAATCACTGATACTCTCAATTGCTCATTGATGGATATGGAATTCACAATGAACTCCCAAGCTTTACGTTATCATAACCAAAACCCCTGAATTATTTTGTAACAGCAGATCCAGGAGATCAACAGTCAAGTGGCGCAATTTCGGGACCTTCTGATCAACATTGGACAGCCGAGAGATGGTCCCGAATTGCGTGAACGAGTGCGGAAACTTCGGAGAAACTGTGTTGAAGCTTGTAAAAGCACTTCCCAACTGGTTCTCCCACAAATGCGAAGGTAAACACGACTTTAATTGTCCATCGACATCTAAATCAAAGACTCCCCTAAATCCACAAATTCCACATTCAACCCAGCACAAACACTTGATTCATTAATTCATTAACCCATTAATCCACCAATCACTAATAAGCATTAATTACCACCAATAGACTATTCAATATACAATGCTCAATGTTTTAAACTCGTAAATAATTTATTGTCGAATGTATTATCCAAGTGAATCCAATTTGTCCTGTGGAATGACGATTAAATAATTCTGATTCCCGAATAATTGCCCCATGAAGAATATTTCCCATCGAATCTCATGCATTCCCCCCTTCACCCCCCAGTCGCTGCATGGAATGAAGTAATAAATTTTTTTTTAATTTTCCCTCACCGGGTTGTGCATAACAAGCGAATAACCGTATCGGAAAAGGCGATAGGTCGGCATGCAATTGAACCTCACGCTCTCCATTTTCAGGGGAAGGCATGGAAAAGCATAAAATTTTCACTACCCCACGCAATATGACGGTGAAAGGGGTGGCAAATAAGCCCGGTGAGGGGAGGGGTTAAAATGTAAGAGAAATTATTGGAGAAAAAAAATAATTGAGAGAAATGTTAACAACGGCGATATGAAATCCATTCAAGATATGCCTGGGGCACTCGAGAAATGATTTAGTTTCGAGAAAAGAGCCTTCATTATTTGCCCCCCCTGGTTCCCCCTCTTTTCAGCCCCATGAATTTTATTCCGTCAAGGGGCCGACGGTGACGGAGGAACGGCATCACAGTGACACGAGTCAACGGACAACATTAAACATTCACATTTTCATTAACTCGAGCAAACGACCGTCACGACCTTTTCACCCACTCCCATGAGATTTTTTTTCATCATTTTTTGAAAAACTAAAATTCCTCTTCATTTGGGGATATTCCTCAGAATAATCACAGGATTATTAACAAATCCCGTTATTGTTGGTAAAAATGTAGTAGAGAAATAAAATCCATAACGATGTATTCTATATAAAAAAAAAACCTCCGTCACTGGAGTTTTCGTCTAAATGAATTAATAGAGGGTCGTAATTAAGAGAAATTCCACCAATCGAAATTGATGAATTAAAAACATTAATGGAAATTACATTCTAGGTCAATAATTTCGTAAAAATAACAGAAATCCGGATAGTTCCGGGGAATGTATTTCTTAATTATGAATTAATTGGAACTCTCGGAGTGAAAGTCTCGGTCAATTAGCGATTTGTCTGGTAGGATAATTCTGAAAGTGCACCCCGGGTAGCCAACGAATGTTTATAAAAGTTGGTTAACCGGAGTATCGAAATTCGATACTTGAAAATCAACTAGCGCAATGGTGGGTGTAGCGAAACGTTTAAAGTCTTGAAGAGTGATAACAATTGTTACATAAAATTCACGCACATATCGATCCTTCAGAATGAACTCTGTCCTATAGCTCTTGTGATGGCCCTTTCATATGGCTCTTGACTTGTGCATTACATGAGCATATTGCCTCCATTGAGGCCCTTGACTACGACACCAAAGCAGGTGTCCAGAGATGCCCTATCAGTCAACCAAAACAACCAATATCACCTCGACCTATATATTCAGTTCAATGCCGAGTGAACAACTAAACGGATATCCGGCATTGCATTATTACCTTTTTTATCACTTGTTTTACGGCTAAAGAAACGGGCAAAATGGATTTCCCTAATTTGCATCTCGTGAATAAAATCCCAGAGGTATTCGTGTACTTGTTTATGATATTCAAATGACTGACAGTTCCACGCTCACTCTTGACGCCTGTGCCATTCCATTTTTCTTTCTTTTCGTTAAATTTTCATCCGGAGAACGGGAAATGTGATATTGATCCGGGAAATTATTTTGAATATTCTGAGAAAGAAGATCTCTTCCATACAAATATTTTCAACGTTTGCGCGCGTTTTTATATTTAAAAATGGCGCATTCCGAAAACATGGAAATTTGAAAAATCAATGGAGAAATATCGAGAGATATCTCCGATTTGACAGGAGATATCGGAATTTTTGTAATGACCTTTTTTGCAGATCTTGATAATGGTAACAAAAAAGGTTCTGACGACAATTTGGATATTTCGGGTAATTTCCGAGATATTGATTGAAAACCTCGGGAAATTCTCGTTGGGGTACGTTGCAACGAGGTCTCAGTGTTTTCTCCGCTTTTCACCTCGGAAAAACTCCAGCCGAAGGATATTAAACCTAGAACAAAGGACGTACGGCCCCCAGGAGTCGTTACAAACCGAGAAAGAGAGGAAAAAATGGAAAAACCAGACAGAAAGGCGGGAAATCCTCGGGGGAAAGCACAAAACACTGCGCCTAGTGGATTCTTCGAGCTTGTACAGCTTCTCCAGGTCGTATTGTACTTGCACATAGATATTTCATGATGTGGGCTCTTTTCAAAGGCTCCAGCTTCGGTCTGGTGGAATAATAAGGGATATCAGTGGCCAGAATCAACCATCGAGACATTGTCGATGGATCGAACCCTGAAAATTGCCCTCTCATGCTCCCCATTCACGTTTATTCCAACTGGAAATCATAAAACCTGGACAGAATTCTCAATTCCTACCCCCAATACCTACTCCCAAATTTCTCTCTACTTATTTCCAGTTTTTCTCGTTGTGTGGAAAATTCTCTGTTGAATTTTCGTAACGAATAATTCATCCCATTTCACTTTTGATTATTTTCACTTTTGATTATGTCTTTATTCTGATTACATCAAATATTAATTCAATATTCACTGACAATTAATTCGAAAGTATATTTTTTAAATTCTTTTATTGTTTATCGAGCTATTTTATGAATTGTGGGTATTTTACGTTTTATTCAAATTTATCTCCGCTCTCGACAGTTTCCATTGAATAGCATTTCTCAAAAATGCTTTCAGTCTTCCTTTGGGAATTTCATTCAATAGCATTTCACCCCATTTATCTTTCTCTTTCTTCGGCGCCGTTATTTAAGCTCTCTCTATTTATTTTATACCGACGATAACGAGGTAAATCCAATGCATTTTCAACGCCCAACAGCACATCTCCAGTGAGACTTGGCCAAATGGATCCTCTGTGTCACATTTCGCATTGCTTTTACCACCAAACGGATAGGAGAACTTTATTTAACCTTGAGGTCTTAGAGTCTTCGCATACCCCATTACAGTTTAATGCAGTTGTTACTGTACACCGCACGTAATTCTTTATCCTCACTTTTTTTTTAGATACTTTACGTCTCCCAAACGATTTTCAGCTCGAGAGTAAAAGGTGAAGTTCTATAACTCAGTCTAGACATTTTTTTCAGGAGAAATGAAAAGTTTAGTTCAATGAGTTTGAAAGCAAAAATATCGGAGTGTCGATCGAATGGGATTTTGGAGTGTGAGAATATGGATTTTTATTCGTCGAGATTGCAAATTAAATTGTTATTACTTAAAATTCCCCTCCTCTCCAGCATCAAAACGTGACCGTTGGGTTTTTAAAGATTCCTAAAATGACGAAAGCACCCACTTCCGTGAAAATTGACAGAGAAATTGTTAATTTCTCATAAAAGTTCTGACAAAGTGCGCGTCGTCTCTGGAATTCCCTCTGTCCACATGAATCCCCAAGATCCCCAAGACTAGAGAATAATTTATGTGTGAAAGGGAAAATAATGAGATGATTAAATCAAGATTGGTGAAAAATTTTCCTCAACTTTTCTTTTCACCGGAGAAACATATGCACAAAGTTGGACAGGTACCTGGAACCACTGCTCTTCATTTTTTATCATCCAGCACTTTGAACTCCCCTTCAATCCCTCCCACCTCCTACCTACCGCCCCAGCAGCTTAAAACATCTTCCCCTCTCCAAAAAAAAGGACGAGGCAAAAAAAGAATTAATTATTAAAGGAAATGAAAAATGTTGAAGATGAAGTTTTTCTCTCACTAGCCAACGGTCACGAAAGCTCACTCTCAGGAAGTACTCTCGTGCAAAACGAGAGTATGCACACCTCGAGAGTTGATGCAACGAGAAACGAGAGGTGTACTTTTAATGTAGGACAAGGTTCACTCCTCACGCATACAAAGTGAATACTAGAAATTAAATAAGCACGCTAAAAAGCCAAAGTTGGTTGTACAATTACGTCACAAAAATTTGCAAACACACACTCATAGACAATTCATCTACAACCCGTAGCTATTTGATAAAGCCTTTTTTTGTTAATTAATCGCAAGGCTACACAGCACTCAGAGAGGATTGCTTACGTCAATCCTCTTTGATTGCACTCTTGGTGAATTTCAATGGTACGATTTGTCATTCAACTTGAGATTGAATATCAATTTAAATTTTCATTACCTCATGGGAAGAGGAATGACAACCTCGTTACAATCATTGCCAAAGATTTTCAGAACAATTCTCCAACAATTACTACCCGATTTATCCAGAATAATTCAATTAACAGCGCAATCGACCTGGGGATACCGGCGGACAGTCCCAACCTGGTGCTTCTGTTCTTCGTGTCGCAATTGTTCCTGAGGGAGTTGTACAAGTGCAAAAATCTGGTTCGCATTGTCCCTATGGATATGTCAGGATATTACGGTAAACATACAAAATATAAATAATATAAATAATTAGATGGGTGAATCATAAAATAAATAAATTAGTAAATGAAATGAAAAAATAATTCAATCACTATCGATCCAAGTTGTTGGATGAATTTTGAAAATCGATTCCGACGACAATTTAAACGCGATAGATTTCACCGGACAGATTAACGAAATCTGATAACCCGATCTCGATATTATTGCAGCAAGTAAATCTGGCCCATCAAACATTGGTAACGTAATTTCATCGATTCTCCTGTGCAAGCCGATTACCCCGAATTTCAACGAGGAGGAGCTCTGCAGTATACGTAAGGATTCAGCAGAGATAAGCGCTCTTGTTGCTGAACTTCAAGAATTCATGCCACAATCCGAGGCTGACATAGGTAAACCCGTGATAACGTGAGTTCATAATTTTTCAATGACTGATTTAAACTTCTAGAGAAAACAATAGCCCTGCAGGACACCTGTGTCGCGGGTTCAAAGAGCAACGGTGCACGGAAGGCCAACAGGTGGGACAATAGACCAGGAAATCCGAATTACTTCAGTGGTCGCTTCAGGTTCCTCTGCTGCACATCGAGGCCTAACTACGTTTGAGCGATTCAATCGAGCTCGCCGATAAATATAAAATCAATCAAAAATACCCAGGAATACAGGAGGAACGAAATTAATTCGAACGAAACATTCAATCTTCAGTATCATTGATAATAATGAAGAATATCCGATTGACAAATATCTGGAACAGTGAAAAAATAATAATTGGTATGGACTCATCTCGTTCCTCCACTTTAATGAAATACATAAATAAATAAAAAGTTTTTGCCACCCAAGAATGGTAAACTGGCCTGCAAAAATCACTTATCTTATACATGTATAATTAAAAATGTAAATGACTTCTGTTATCGCAAAAAAAAATGTCAGAGTCTAGGACACTTGAATATAACTTAAGGGTGATATGTAGTTAACGAATAGTATATTTCTTTAAAGGAGCCTCGAGACATTAGTAAATGAAAAGCGATGGTGAATCGAGTGTAAATGGTATACGAGCATCTCGCATTGGTATTGTGGGGTGTCACGTTATTGCCAGTGCCTGAAAAGCGACAAGAGTGAATGTTGATGGTTGGATAAACAAATGGGAATGATATTGGTGGTAGAAGAGGCTGTCGAGGAGAATAATGCATGAATGACTTAACCATCTCTGTGTAATAAGATCATGAGTTTTTCCGACCATTGAGAAATCCTCTTCAAGCGAGTGGAGAAGATTTAGTAGATCACCCAAAGTTCTAGTGATTCCCCCATTTATTTCCCATTCTACGGATTTTATCGTCTACCAGAGGCATTTGTGCCAATTAAAAGTGTTACTTCGTATCGAATAAAATGTATTCGATTAGTTATTGAACAGGTGAATAGAAACTGAAGAGAATTATAAAACTTTCATAACTTGGGTCCAATGTTTACATTTGTTTATTCCTCATCGCTGGTATATTTATTGAAGTTATGTACATTTCGAGTTGATTGTTCATTGGTGAATAAGAGGAGCGATTTAGCGATATGAGAGAATTATTAGATGATGTAGTCTTAGGAAATAATGGAAATTCATCGATGCGGGTCAATGTAGAATAATTTGAAGCTTCTCAACTCAATGATAAAATAATAATGAAGATAAACGACTACAACAAATAAAGTCAATATTACGTTAGAGCATATCGAGAATTTGAGTAATATATTGTGAAAAGGACCAATCCTTAAGCTATAAGGGAAATAAATTCGTCATCCTTGAGTTCTGGATGGACGTTGTAGTATACAGTGGGTGGTCAAATAAATGTCCGCATGTGAATTACTTAATTTGTGCACATTTCCCCAGGGTACGTAAATATCGAATAGAAATCAGTGGCGTACAATCAAATAGAGCCATTGGGGAGGGCTGATGAGTGACGTTTAATGGGTAGAGTGGATTCTCTATTGTTCCACTTGTCAATCATGCTTTAATCGAGGTAAACGAGAGATAATGTTTGGGTTATACGGAGCTAGTGTTCTACATGCCTGTTTATTGACCAATGTGGCTGGTACAGGCTCATTATTTATGCGGTTTTTGTCAGAGAAGTTAATCATATGAACTTTCAGATGCATTGAAAATAAGTATATTTAACTAACAAAATAAATGAGTTCAATTACTGTGACCTGTTCCTTTCTCCTGAGTGCAATTCCAGATTTTTTTCATTTTACACTTGCAATTTTAATTCATCAGAAATTCATAAATCCTTCGCTTCAATTGTTGGAAATCATTTTTTCGGAGTTTCTACGTTTTTAATTATCTACGGTGAAATCTAATGCGCACTCCTCGCGACGAATTTGAATTTTATATTTGCAAGTTTAAAAATATTGCAGAAAAAATCCGCGGCTGCGCATTATGGACCCAGTTCATATGATGGAAATATTTTTAGGGATGGTAGAAATCAAAGGGGATTGACTGAAGTAGAGGCTCAGTTCTGGGGGTTTGAGTGACCCCAGTGGCATCGTAGTGCTGCACCCCAAGAGAGGGAGGGCGCAACACGCAATGCTGGGGTGTTTTTTTTTTATTAACCAATTTTTTATTGCAATGCTGGGGTGTTCATCAAGTCGACGGGGTGAATTTTATTTTCTACTGTACGAATGCTTTTTGTTTTTCATTTGTTTAACTGAAATTTAGCCGACTGTAGCGCGTACAGAAGGGGGAAACCACATCTTGTGGAATTTCAATGGAAAAAATTATTCAATATATTGAAGATATACCACTAATGAAATTATATTTTTAATTGATCGCGTTGTCCTAGGGGTAACGTGCTCGACTGGCACACCGGCGGCCCGGGTTCAATCCCGGCATCATTCATTTTTTTTTTT